CCATTTGGCAACGTCTGGAGAAGTTTTTGGGTGCTACTTCCATGGAATGAATAGAGGACGGGGATGCTGGTAAACATCCGACATTGCACAGGACAGCTCCACACAACAAAGGCTTATCTGGTCCAAAATATCAATTGAGAAACCTTGCTATGTGGCTTCGAAAATGAATGAGCCACAGCAACACATACCAACGTAACCGGGAGTGGAAAAGCACGCTGCAAATGAGCAGGTGAGTACGATGCCGCGCAAGCAGGTTCGGAAGCACGCAAAACCAAGCACTGTATTGTAAGGGGAGTATGGGAAACTGAGAGCACAGCCGTTATCAACACAACGTTCAGATTCCTCATTACCCCAGGGTGGGGGAAGGGTGGGGCCTGAGACCGGGGTGTGGGGAGGTGCTGGTTCCTTACTCTGGGTGGTCAGTTTCCCAGTGTCTGCTTTCTTGATGGTCTGTGCAATATGAACTCGTTTATCACAAGAATAATTTTTTTGGCTTTTGTTTTAGAGATGGGGTCTTGCTCTGTCGCCTAGGCCAGAGTGCAGTGGTGTGATCATAGCTCACTGGAACTTCAAAATCCTGGGCTCAAGCCATCCTCCCATCTCAGCCTCCAGAGTAGCTGGGACTACAGGTGCACACCACCATGCCTGGCTAATTTTTTTCATTTTTTAAAAGAGATGTGGTCTCACTGTGTTGCCCAAGCTGGTGTTGAACTCCAAACAGCTGCGACTACAGGCACAAGCCACCTTGCCTGGCAAGAGTAATGTTTTTAAGTGCTTTAAGGTGACACCTGGCCCTGCACAGAGCTCTCCTGACTCGGTTTCCCTGTGCATTGAATCTCCCTCTTTGTCTGGCTCCTGGGGCAAGGACATGAGGAGATGTCAGCAGCTGAAGAAGGCATGTTTCCATGGAGTCAACTGGGAAGTGAGGGGCAGGGAGGGGTTCGGATACTGACAGTCCACAGTCAGTCCCTTTATCTCCAACCCCACCGGGAGCCTTCTCACTGTCTGCCAGCCTCAGCTCACCCTCCCCTCACACTTCCTGTTCAGTGCTCTCCGATCAAACACAAATCCGGCCAGATCCCTAAACTCTGTCCTTGAGTTTCCCACATTCTGTGCTGAGGTTCCCCACATTTTGGGTCCCATCCCAAAAGGAAGGCGGTGGCAGCCCAGAGCCACCCAGCATCCTTTGTATCCCGACCTGCCAGGGGCAAGCACTGAACAGTCCTTGTTTCACGAGACCTCAGTGTTTGCCCCTGGAAAATAGGTGTAAATATCCTTATGGGAAGACTGTCCTGGAGCAGAGGCTGGGAGGACATGCAGGGACAGGAGGTGTGGCTCTCCTCTACCAGGTGCTTGACACTGGCCCTGTGGGGGAGGGCTTGGATGGGAAAACTGTGGTCCAGAGAGGGTAAGGGACTGGCCTAAGGTCACCTAGCAAGTCAGCGATGGAGTTGTTGCTGGTAGACCGAGCTAATGACATGCAGTCTCTTAGCAGAAACAGCTGGAAAGCTGCAACCAAAATGCTGTCCAGGGGCTCCAGGGTCTCTCAGGCTTGGTTCCAACATGGAAGGCCTGGAGCAGGAGGAAGTGGGTGGGGGACACGGTCCAGGTACAGTGCAGAGCCCCACATCACAGAACCAGCGTCACAGAACAGACATTACAGAGCACCCAGTCCACTCCTCCTCCTAGAGAAGGGGGAACCGAGGTACAGGAGGCAGCAGTCTAGGAGGTAAGGCACACTCCTGGGCTCAAAAGGTCCTGGGCTTGAATCCTGGCTCACCCACTTGCTTGCTGTGTAACCTTGGACAAGTGACTTAACCTGTGTGAGCCTTAGTTTCCTACTCTGTAAAATGGGGATAGAGGGTTCCTCACAGGGCTTCAGCGAGGACTCAGTGAGACAATCTACGTAAAACCCTAACACTGTGCTGGGTACAGAGTGCCCGGTCGACACTGTTCTTTGTTGGAAATACTTGTGGTCACTTTTCAAGGGTCCCTGATTTCTTACTGTGCCATAGCCTTTCAGGACAAGACCCCATAGCCCAGTAAAGTCACTAGACATTTGGGGATCCTGGTTCTGTTGGACTGTAAGTGCTCTAGGGGCAGAGTGTCTCTTGCTGGACCCTGTGGACGTGGGCCCTCAGGGAGGCTCTGGCCTCTGGGTCCCTTTGCGTCAGGTCCCTGTTCCAGCTCTGGGCCTTTTCACTCCCTCCTGTTTGTCCTGTTCTACATAAGCATGTCCAGCCCTGGTGTGGGAGCAAAGAGACTCTCTCTTAAGTAACACCAGCACCTTGCCTTTGCTCTGCTAGGAGGATGTTAGCAAAGCTGTCGAGTCTTGGCCGATCTGCGTAGAAGATGCAAACAAACCCCATCTAGATAGAGGCTTTGTTTTTTTCTTGGAAAGATCAACTGAAGCTGCCAGCCCTGCAGGATCAGGGGACACAGACACGGGCCATGGTCGAAGCACAGGGTTAACTGTCTCAGCAACTTCCCTGGTGAGCAAGTGTATCCTATGGTGCATCCTATATTCACCCCATGATCTCCCAGCAGCAACTCTCTGTACACAGGCTTTGTTCTGCAGGGAGCCTCCAGGGAGCTAGTTAATCTGGCTTCCTGGGGGTAAAGACAGACCTGCAGCCCCCCACCTTGTGCAAGCTGAAACCCCCTTCCTCTCTAAACCCAAACTGGTGTGGGCTGGTCCTGCAGTGCACAATGCCCCAGAAGGGAGGGTGTCCCCTCCCCACAGGAGCTGGCTCACTTGGGCAGAGCCTAGGGGACCCTCAGCACCTTGTGGTTTAAGCCTGGAATCTGTGCTCCAGCTCAGCCTCTCCCAGCATCCTCTCCTGACCATCTATCAGGAGAGAGGGGGATGGGAGGGGACTGCCATACCGAACCTGGACTTCTCTGTGCCCTTCTCCACAGATGGGCGGAGTGAACCTCTTAAAAGGTAAACCAGGTCATGTTGCTTCCCGGCTAAAACCCTCATGGTTTCCCCAGCTACCTCAGAATCAGACATGATCTGGCCCCTCTGACCTCTGACCTCATCTCTCAACCCTCTTCCCTAGCCCATCCCCAGCCCCCTGGCCTTTCTTGAACAGGCCACTAAAGGCCAAACCTAGGGCCTTTGCACTAGCTGTTCCCTCCGCCTGGAATGCCCTCCCCCTTATCTTTGTCCTTGTCGCTCTGATCTCAGCTTAGACTCACCTCCTGAGTCCCTCCCTGCCCACTGGATCTAAAGGATCTGAAGTAACTGATTACCGCTTTCTGTGACAGCAGCTTGTCTTAATTCCCTGCACAGCACCCGGTCTCGGTTATCTAGTTTGTTTATTATCTTCTCCCTCCTCCTCCCCCAGGATGCCACGTCCCCCCAGAGTGCAGTGGCACAATCCCCGGGGGCTGGAGCGGGGTGGTGCTGGGACCGGTCTGGCGGAGAGTAGGCGCGGGGTGCACCGTGGTTGAATGAATGGTTGAGCAACTGTAAACGGGGACAGCAGCTGCTGCGCGGGCGCGCGCTCCAGGCCGTGGGCCGCTCACGGTCGCGTGCGCGGGTTTGATCTTTTTGCAGGTCCTGGGGGAGGGAAACCCGCCTCGGCTGTCTGGGCAGCCGACGCTCCGTAAATGCGCTTGGGGACCGGAGGATAACGAGACAGACTTACGGGCTGCGGGAAGAGCCGCGTGCCCCGCGAGGCTGCCGGTGCGGAGGAAGTTCTGCTGCCGGCTCTGCGCCCCGGGATTTCGGCGTTGGGGCCCCCATGGGAGACCTTCCCCATCCTTCCCAGTGGTTTCCCTCGCGAGTTCCAGATTCTCCCCGGAATTCCAGGGACTTAGCGGTCGAGTGGGCGGAGAAGCGGGGCTCTGAGCGCCGCTCGGGGCAGGGGCAAGTTCCCAGCGCCCTCGCCCTGTCCAGGCAGCGAAGGGCGCACGGATAGAGCTCCGGGACAAAGCCGGCAAGGCCCGGCCCTCCCGGGGCTCTGACTCCAGTGCTGCAGTCCCGGACTGGGAGTGAAAACGCAGTCCCTCCGCGCGCTCCAGCAGGGGACCTGGGTGGGGATGGGGCGGAGGAGCCCGGGGGTAGGGAAGGGACAAAGAGCAGCCCTGCTGCGGGGAGAGAGCGACCTCCGTGTCACAGTCCTATTGTTCGTCGTATCTGAGACCACGCTGAACTCCGGTGCCCCCGGGAGGGAGAAGGGGAGCTGTCGCCCAGATCGTGGGTATTTGTTTATTTGGGGTGGGGAAGGGAGGGCGGGGGACCCGGGCCCGGGAGGGGCCTAGGCGCCCATTTCCTCGCGTCGCCTTTAAGCGAAGCCCTGCCCTACCTTTCCCACCGTGCCCCCCCGCCCCGCAGCCGTACCTGCATTTTAAAAGCGCCCTGTAGCCCTGGGATTGGCCAAGGCCGCGTCCTCCGGGCGCAGAAACTTGAACCGCGAAGAGAGGGGGTTGGAAACCCAGCGGCTGGACTGTACCATCTCCACGGCTTCCCCGCGTGCGCCCCACCCCTCCCACACACCCCCAAAGTGGCCCAATCAGAC